GAATACTTTGCCTCGGTTTTTAACAAAGGTAATGAGGAGCTTATGGGTAGTGGCAGGGTGACTAATGGAAATGAAGATATAGAAGTAGAAATTACCATATCTGAGGTGGAAGTCAAATTCAAACAGCTTAATGGGACCAAATCGGGGGGCCCATCCAAGAATATTAAAGGAACTGGCACTTGGAATTGCAAGACCATTAGCAAAGATTTTTAATGAATCCACAAATTTGGTGGTAGTACTCTATGACTGGAGCTAATATACTACCTATTTTTAACAAAGGGAAAAAATTATCCAAGAAACAACAGGCTTGTTAGTTTGACTGCAATTGTATGCAAAGTCTTGGAACAAATTTTGAAAGAGAAAGTAACTAAGTACATAGAAATAAATGGTAACTGGGATAAAATACAACATGGTTTTACAAAGGGTAGATTGTGCCAGACCAACCTGATTTCTTTCTTTGAGAAGATAACTGATTTTTTTAGACGAAGGAAATGCAGTAGGTCTAATCTACCTGGATTTCAGTAAGGCGTTCGATACAGTTTCACATGGGAAATTATTAGTTAAATTAGAGAAAATGTGGAGTGATACGAGAACGGAAAAGTGGATAAGGAACTGGTAAGTAAAACTACTACCCCGGCATAAGATCCTGGGCAATGCTAACAGCTGTCACAGCAAGCTGCTACCATATCCTTATGTGTTGAAAAGTCCTTATGAGAACATCTTAAACCCCCCAGATTTTCTTTTTACCTTCATAAGCTTGAAAAAATTCCTGTCTGAGAGGAAAAACAGTACAGACCCGTTTATGCACGAATCCGCTTAACGCGTGGGAGCGCCATGCCTCCCAGTGCTACCTATTTGACAGGCGAGACTCGTTAACACGCAGTACAGGAACTTGCTATGTAGCACTACAGATCTGCTCACTAACTCACTGACATAGAAATCGACAGGAAGTGCGGAGTGGAAATGTGTTGAACGTCTTTACCGCCGATGGGGGGGGGGGGGGGGAGGGAAGGGGCAGCAACATTAAAGCGCTGCGGCACGGACCCTACCAGCAGGGCCGCTGACGGGGGAGGCAAAAAGGGCAGGGACATTAAAGGGCAGGGTTCTTTGCCGCAGCAGCACTGGGCCGCCGACGGGGGGCGCAGCAATGTTAAAGCGCTGCCACGGCAAAGGACCCTGCAGCGCTTTAAGGTCCCTGCCCATTTTGCCCCCCCTTGGCCGCCGACAGGCAGGGGGAGAGGGGGCAAAGGGAGCAGCTGCCCCAGGGCCGGTGATTTAAAAGGGCCCGGGGCTCTGGATACTGCTACTGCAGCAGCAGCGTCCAGAGCCCCAGGCTGTTTAAATAGCCACAGGAACCTCGGGTGGCACAGACTGGGTGGAAGGGCTGGCTGGGGGATGCTGACTCCTAGCCCCGCCTCTTCCGCCCGAGGCCCTGCCCCTGCCCCGTACCGGTAAGTGTCCTGAGTTACTTTCACCCCTGTGTACTGTAGTAATAATGTTTTTATTAGATTACACATTCAAATTTATATTCTTGCAAAGCGCCATTAACAGATAGGCCTGCAGTATTTGGGACACTGTGAATATGTATGTAATCCTAGATAATTATACATGTATATATAGATATCTTAAGATATTTCAGCATGGCCCTCTTAACCCACGGTCCACTAACATGCGGTCGTGACGGCTTGACTCCCAACATCCGCGCGTAAACAGGTCTGTACTGTACTCAGAATTTGGAGTGTGTGTCTAATGAAGTTAAACACTATGAATTAGACTGAATAATTAAACTCCTTGTTGCACACTTCTTTGTTAAGTCTTTTCAATGTAGCTTTATTCACTGTGGCAGAGCTCTGACCTTGTCCCCGTGGGTCCCGCGCTTCTAGGCGGTTTATGCTAGCCTCAGTGGCTCACTGGGACCCTCCACGTAGCCCTTCTCTCTCTAGGACCAGGGTTACAGTCTACTGAGCCCTTTTCATCATAAGCCAGCAAGGGGGTTGGTGAGAGAACTCCCACAGTCTCTGTTGTCTCTAGGGCTTATTTCAGAACAGTTTAGCCTCCTGTCCTGACAGGGGCCTGTCTGCCCTTCCCAGGAGGTGTTTCTGTAGTGGCAGGTTGGGGGGAACCCGAGCCCGCCCTCTACTCCGGGTTCCGGCCCAGGGACCCTAATGGTAGCAGTTGTTGGCAGCCAACTTTCACTGCCAGAGTTGCTACATTTCCCTGGGCCACTTCCCCACAGCTCTCCTGCTTCTCCCTTCTTCACCCTTACCGATGGTTAGAGGGTGTCTTCATTAACCAGCCCTTCAGCCGCACTTCCTTTCCTCTGGCTCCCTGGCTCTCCCCAGCCTGACTGGAGTGAGCCCTTTTGTAGTATCAAAAGGGCCTTAACTAGAGTCAGGTGTTCACATTACCTTAATGGACTCACCTGACTCTTTGCAGGTTAATTGGAGTCAGGTGTTCTCATTAGTCTAGAGCAGCCCCTGCTCTGGTCAGTCAGGGAACAGAAAACTGCTAATCCAGTGGCCAGTATATCTGCTTTCTACTACTTTGTTGTACCCAACTGGCCTGGGTCTATCACATCACCTACTGCAATGGTGATAAATCACCAACTCCACCAATAACAACATTACTTCTATAGAGCCTTTGATCGAAGTTTGCAAAGCACATTGCAAACATTAGTTTTGTAGGTACGCTCCCTTTCCACAGGTGAAGAAAACGAGACAGAGATAGCACAAAGTCACCAGGATCCTGCCTCTCCCAGACATGTACTCCAACTTCTAGACAACACTATGCACCCACAGTAAATAACAAAACTACCTGCCTTTTGCTAAGAAAGGGGTGATCATATCCCTTTTAAGGAAGCACTAAGATGCAAATAAGTTTGTCCACTAATAGATTTCAGAGGCCTCCTTATAGAGATACAGCATTTATAACCATGAAGAATTTTTAAAGAGACACTTGGCTGTAAACCCTCTCACTGAAGGACAGCTCCAGCTAAAACTCAGCTGAGGAGATTCACTCTCTCTGAAGGAGACGACCAGGGATGCAAAGGAAAGAAAAGACAACCCCCCTCTACCACTCTGCTGACTGACAGACTCCCCACCTACCCAAGAAGAATGTGGAGTGGGAAGGACTCGAGGAGTCTCCTCTATCCGCCCACACAGGGATTTGGGGGTGGGGGAAAGTAATCCCATGTATGTTTAAAAGAACCAACAAAAAATCCTTAAACTTTTCTTTTACCCCAAGGAATACGGATATTAACACTAAATCTTGCTGCTTGTGGGCCACTGGCAAACACATGTGATATCCACATGCACAAGCAGCTCAGCTATTTTGGCTTTTTAATTCCCTATGTCACCTAGTCAGCCTTGTCCTTGAACAAGTCAGCCTGGCATGTACCCAGAGAGCCTCATAACATTACCACTGGATAGGGCTCTTAGTACTGAATTTATTAAAGAACTTTCAAGTCCTCATGGAGGGCCCAGTTCTGCACCCTGACTCACAGTGAGTAGTACTTTACTCCATGAGTAGCCCCACTAAGATGGGGCCCAGTTCTTCCACTCCCTAAGTGAACCTGGGTGAATTGCCATGTCATGAAGATAATGATGGACTTCAGCCCAGAATGGCAGGTTGATCAAATCAGTCAGACAAAACAAAGATCTTTTGTTACATTTAGTGAGCGCTAAGGAGAACATTCACAGTTACACGTTCTAAGGACTTATTTTTATGTAACACAGATGTCTTTGGAAACAAAACAAGTATGACATGTAAAACTGCACTCCACATCGTATACACTTCAGAGTTACTACCGTATCATTCCTTATTACTTGGAGTAATAAACCTGGAGTAAAGAAGATACATTACAATACATACAGGGCCGGCTCTGACTTTTTTGCCGCCCCAAGCAAAAAAACCACCACCAACAACAAAAACTGTGGGGGGGCTGGAGCGGCGAAGCAAAAAACAAAAACAAAAACACACCTGTGGGGCGGCCGGAGCAGCAAAGCACACACACACACAAAACACCTGCAGGGTGGCCGGAGGGGCAAAGCACACACACACACACACACACACACACACACACACACACACA